AATTACCCTTCACTCTTCTGACCTGGCTTTAAACTGCTTGGGATTATGTCAGTTAATTACAGACTTACATTGTTTGGCTTCCGTTTGCGTCGATTTATTCTAAAAGATCGAAAAAGCTTAAACCCCCTCGTAGAGAGAACTGATAAGTTGCAGAAAAAAAAGGAAGTCAAACAAAAAAAAAATATATTGATTTTTCGAAACCATTAAAGCTCTAACATGGCGCCAAGGTTTGGAGGAATTAAACAAAATATTTTTTTCTTTATTAGTGTCTATATCTTTATTTAATTTCTTCAGTTTTATTTCCCCAAACCTGGGAGACACGTTAGAATTTTAATATTTCAGAATTTGCCTGTCGATATTTGTGAATCCATTCAATTCTTCGACTGCTGTGTGATTTCTGTGGTATCGTCTCTATCAACACACTTCTTCGAGCGTTAGTTTTTCATATACTTGTGCAATCTGAGCCAAAGGAGCGGGACATTTTTTCCTTGTGGGGTGGTCGATGTAGCCAAATGAGACGTGCAAAAATAACCCACACTTCCCTGTTGAATGTCTTTTTATCTTGGTACCAAGTGTCGGTTTCTGTGATCCATAATATGTTTCACATATAAATGGCGGCAATTTCAAATTGGTATCTTTGTTTTTGTGGACTTAGTAATTCCATAAAGAAATTAAACAAGGTATGGATACTTTTATTTTACGGAAACGAAGAACGTCGAGGGAAAATGGCAGTAGCAACCATTTTGGTGGTAAGATTCTAGCAGTTTCCGAGGTGAATCTAACGCTGGAGCCTCCTGCCCGCCAACCTTGCTCATATATAATACACGTGAGGATGCATCGACTAAAAAGCGCTCAAATTTCTTAGAAAGCAGCGTAACGATGGAAAGCAGCAACACCACCTATCGTAAATGGCCCTTTTATCAATATCTTCTACGCAGTAAACAGTTGCAAAATGTAGACTACGAGTAGTCTCTCTCTCGCTCAGTCCATCCTGCCCGGGCGTGGCACGAAAGAAGGAAAGTATGCCGCGTGAAATCTTGGGGCGAGAAGCACGCGAAAGGAGGGACTACCGACAAAGCACCCAGGATTTCGCGCCGGCATTTTCTCCTCGAGGCTAATTTACCGTTACTTGACGGACTAAGCGAAAGAGGGACCACTTGTAGTCTATGCAAAATGCTTTTTAGTTAGTAAACATCTGAAATAATTCGTTTTGATTGGATTTGGATTGTTCAATTCCAGGGATAGCTCTCCAGCTGATACATTGTATATCGTGTTTTATTACGTACTTCAGTGAGTTTGCTGCATGCATAAACTTATTTCATTAGCTTGAACATTGACGAAAGCATTCCAAGAAGATTTGAACTTATGTGAAAGCAAGGGAAAGAAGAAGCGAAGGCTAAAATATTAAAAAAAAAAAAANTTCCACAGTTCAGACCAGAGCAGCAATTTTGATTTCCTGGCATTCTGCCACAAATGTGATAAGTGTTCCTTTTAATCGTGCACTTCCTTCTGAAAATACTTGTTAATATTTTGGCTCTATACAATTTTAATTTATCCCACTTTTTAGATGTATCTGATTAACATAATTTTACTTAGTTCAATAGAATCTCAAAATAATTCACCCGCCGCCAACAGTCCGGGATCGTTATCAGATTTGATAACCTCGACCAAAACAAACCATTAACCAATCGCTGCACAA